CTCTCTCTCTCTCTCTCTCTCTCTCTCTCTCTCTCTCTCTGTCTATGTATCTTGTATGGTAATTAGAATAATATTTTATAGTTATCTATAACATCGGTTAGCCTTTTGATAATACATTTTTCCATTTTACAGTGCGACGAGTATTTTAACGAGATTTTATTTTGTATGCCTTTTTCTATATATTCTGTAAACGTATTAACGCATTGAGAGTAGGGCAAACTGTAGAGGCAATTTTGCAAAAATTTAAAGATACCTTCATTTGGAATATTCGTTTATTATGTGCACTCTGGTAATTACTGGTTCTGCTTGATCGTATTATCGTAGTTAAATCTTCAGTGCGTTAAAGACACAATACGATTGTGAGAATTGCTAGAAAAACGTAAAAATTTTTATTCAACACAGGGATTAGGATGTAATCGAACGGACGATTTCAGTACACCAGTCAGTTCTGGCAGCAACATGAGCAGTATAGCACGGTTTCCAAAGTTGGACGAGTGTGCCCACTTTCATTACGAACATGTTGAACTCAGTTCCTTGGAGGTCAGTTACATTCAAATTTTAGCTTTAAACCGTTGAACTTTACCTATTAATTTCACCGATATTTTGCTTAAATATAATACCACCTTACCCATCTCGAATATCTATATCTCGAACAGTTATTAAACTATCAAAGATAATATTACATTTATTAACTCTATGCACTCGAGAGAGGATCTTCGGTCACTGTTTAATAGAATTTTCGAGATCGATATTAATTAATATAGTAAACTTAAGATAATGTAATAGCGTGCAAAGTATTGGAAGTAAATAATTCTACGTGTTAATTATTATACGATTTTCTATTTATTGTTAAAAAAAAAATATTGTCGATTTAGTGGCCGATCAAAAAACGTCGAGTGCAAAGGGTTAATCTCCATATTTATTTAATTTTCTTTTGATCTATCTTCGATTTCTCTGACCAGTTCTTCGGATCGGTATTCGTTCACTTAATTTTATTCAAATTCGATGCGTCGTTACTCGTTGCGTATTAAATTTGCACATCAATGATCCGTGATCTGTTCTATGAAACAGAAAATTATGTCCTTCGGCTAATAAAAGAAGAGTCGCATTGCGAAAACGACGGATTAAAAAGACCCAGTATACGTGTTCTCATATCGACTGTGTGTAATATATAAAAATAAAGATCGTACGTTGATTTTGCAGGTTTCGCTTAGCGAAGGTACCAATGATTCAGACAGCTACGCGGTCAGAGTAACATCCGGGGATGCATGCTGGACGCTGCAACGGTCTTATGATAATTTTGTTATGTTTGACAAGCAATTGCATCGCTGCATATTTGACAGGAAGTTCTCTTCCCTAACCAAGCTTCCAGATACACGGCCAAAAAACACCTGTGATATACTGAGGGACTATTTAAATAGGTTCTCCCAGTTAAATCATGAAGGCCTAAATTGCGGTCCTGTGTTAAATTGGTTGCAGCTAGATAATAGAGGAAGAAGAATCCTCGTGCCAGAGTCAGATTCATGCCCCATTAATACTCCTGCAGTAGCCGCGGCTTATGCAGTTAGACCTTACGTGGCTCAGGCACCGGATGAAATCTCCTTTCAGGTATGCTTTTCCACCTAAACGTTTGATCTTTAGATAAGAGAATCTCGAATGGCGAAACAAGTTCACGATTTCCTACATTTGTGACGGTATCATTCTCATCCCCGTCAATAGATGGAGGATTCCTATTTGAAGGAGGTTCGAGGACATTCTCGCAAGCCTCGGTAAAGAACCACCCTCCGTTTCATATATATATATAGAATTTCCAAACTTTCCGATAGTATCCCAGTCTAAGGCAGGGCCTGCTAGGTAGTCTTATCGATGAGTCCACTAACAGGCCCAGGCATCCCTTCCTTTCCCTTTCGTCCATTCTAGCACCACCGCCTCATCGAGACTACCTGCGACCGAACCACGTCAACACAATGGGGGGAGGACCAACCCCCCCTTTCCTTACGGATTTAACGCGAAATTATTTTTCTATTTCAGGTCGGGGACATGATTTCAGTAATAGATATGCCTCCTCCAGGGGAAAGTACATGGTGGCGTGGGAAGCATGGATTTGCAGTCGGTTTTTTCCCAGCGGAATGTGTGGCTGTGATCGGGGATAAAGTACCGCGTCATCTGACCGTGTCAACGACAGTTAGATCAAAGTTACCCGTGAAACCGGTGCTTCGAAAGCACGGCAAGCTAATCGCCTTTTTCAGATCGTTTATATTGAATAGACCGTCTAGGAGACGATTGAAGCAGTCAGGAATTCTGAAGGAACGTGTATTTGGTTGTGATTTAGGGGAACATCTTTTAAATTCTGGTCAAGATGGTATATATGAATATTTTACGTTGAGCTTGATATACGTATATCCTTCATTGTACACGGCTTAGCAATTGTATAATATTTCTTGATATTTGCAGTGCCTACTGTTTTAACCTGCTGCGCCGAGTTCATAGAGAATCATGGTTTAGTGGACGGTATATATCGTCTAAGCGGCGTGACATCGAACATTCAGAGATTACGAAACGCATTCGACGAGGATCGTGTTCCTGCATTGCATTCCGATGAAAGTATTCTACAAGATATTCATTCTGTGGCATCGTTGTTGAAAATGTACTTCAGAGAACTACCAAATCCACTCTGTACATACCAGCTTTATTCTACTTTCGTTAGCGCGGTTCAGGCTAGTACCGATGCGGAAAGATTAAGGCGGATGAGGGATACCGTTAGAAAATTACCACCACCGCACTACAGGTAACGTGGGAAAAAGGCCAGTTTCATTGTCACTTGAAAATACGTTGTTAAATCGCGAAAGTAACGTTACGATTTATATTTTCAGAACGTTAGAGTATCTTATGCGTCATTTAGTGAGAGTCGCAGCTCGAGGTGCGGAGACTGGTATGACACCGCGTAATGTCGCAATCGTTTGGGCCCCGAATCTCTTAAGATGCAAGGAATTAGAAGTCGGAGGTGTAGCAGCGTTGCAGGGCGTCGGTGTGCAAGCTGTGGTCACGGAATTTTTGGTCTGTTACGCCGAATTAATCTTCGGAGACGGTCCAGTTGGAAGACCAAAATCGTTAGCCATTACGACACCGGCAAGATTGCTCAGTTTGGAAGAGGCTCGAAACCGAAGTCTACGAGGCGAGCCTGATTATGTGGAAGTGGGCGCTGGTCCAGCCGGGTTACCATTACATTACCATACGGTCATAGAATTACCGCGGAAGAGAAACGGCTCGAAACGTTCACCCTCGTTGAACTGGAGAGCTTTGTTCGGTCGAGGTGGCTTAGGTGCCAGAGGAAAAACAAGACAAGTTGGCACGCCACCTCAAACAGAAACGGTGCCAAGTTCCTTAAACTCCTTACGACGGTTAAGACCGGTGAAAAGCGCAGACAGTTTGGACGGTGAGGACAGTTTAGGTCCTCTACTCGGACCACCACCAGCTAGACCTTGTGGACATAGTCGATCAGTCTCGCATGATTCGTATTTCGATCATTTAGCGGATGCACCGAATACTGCTTCGCCCTTGGATCTGTCAGAGATACAGCTTAATTTCGATTTGGAGGAACGAGAGATGCGAATGTTTTCAGAGGAGGAAAGTGGAGGAGTAGCATCGGTGGAAGCGTCACCGCGACGACAAAGAACAGAGGGATCACAGAATACCGCTGCTACCGGTGGATCGAAAAGAAAGAGATCGCGATTAGAGGAAAGACTGCAATGCGACGTTGAGTTGCGCTTCATTGATAGCCAAAGTCCTGATCAGGTAAGCGATATAGTACACGTATTGTATAATTTTATGCATCCCGTCGAGTTGTTAGCATTTATCTACAAATTTGGCACTTGTTCCCAGGTGATGGTATCTGCAGATGTTCACAGCATGGATACCCCATCTCCTCTGCCAACACCAGGGTATCTTCCATTATTATCCGAAGCTTCAACCCCACTCACACCTGCAACGCTACACGGGACACCGCATTCTACATCACCTGTACCAGCTAACAGTCCTAGGATAAGTTTCCGAAGTTTCACTTTACCTTTAGACATCGACGACGAACAAAGCAACGCGAACAAACTAAACAGAACTAGCGTGTCTTCCGATAAATCATCTGACCCTAGTCATAGGTTATCCGTAAACTTAGAAGGACAGAGCAATGCCAAGTCCTGTGAGAGGATAATGACATACGACAAGCACGTAGATTTGTACGATGATAAAGGATCTTCCAAGACTCAAAAGACTTCGAAGGAATCCAACTTAGTTGTATCGGATGTAGTCGACCAAGAGATGATGCCTTGCGATAGGCTAATGTCTCATTCTAGCGAGATAGATTCTAGTAAAGTAAAATCTCCGTGTAAAGATGTAGAAAATAGATCGAGCTCGTGTCCCGTCGACGAGAATAAATCTCACAACGACAGCAGGGATATATTAGACGTGCGAAAACACGATACGCAAACGAACAAATCGATCGGTTCGCAGAATGACGATGCCATGGCTGGAAATTCAAACGCACATAGAAATGAATTGCCAGGACTGCCATTATCCAGCACGACAGATCTCGATTCTCCGATGTCATGCGAACAAACCATTGAGGATATACCCGATTCCGGTTTTGTGATCTGTGATAACTCCGACAAGATGTTTACCAATACAGAAACATCACAGATAGTATCTAATGCTAACGATTCTGGTGAATGGGTGATAGTCGAGACAACTGGCTCCATCACCACACCGACCAGTGAATCCAGTAGTTCGAAGGATCCTTTGGAAGGCACTGTAAATAATGCAATTGCAACAGATGCTCCACAATTAAGATCAATGTCAGAAAACGTTTCTAGAACTTCGTTGGATCTTACTATGGGCTCGACTGTGGATACGGATACGTCTTGTATCGGTGTTAGTGACTTGACCGAAAGTCCTGTTCTGCCTCAGGAGTCTGCAGAGATGTTTGATGTCACTGACAACAGAGAACTTGAAGAACACGACGACAAAGAACTTCCGTAGCATTCGATGACCAAACTAGCTTCGGGATGGTCGAGTCTGGAAATAATTTTTCAAATATCGTTCACTCGCCTGTACACGATCAGGATAACGGAAATCAGAATATATGTACCGTCAACATAACAGATATTCGTTTGAATCAGAAATCTGGTGAAATGGAGCACGAAGTCACCACTTGTTACGCGCAACTAGATAACGCTAAAGCGTTCAACAGAAACGAGAACCCAGTGAAGGAAAAGAAGGTCGTCGAAGAAGAAGTTTTCGAAAATTCTCAACGCTCCTCGAGGAATGTCGATTTTCAGCAACAAGAAATTCGACGTTCCTTGCAGTTGCATCAGAAACCGCAGTTTCAAGCAGGCGATCGCCGTTCGTTCTCTAATCAATCAAAGAAGAGCCAAGATCTCGATCATTCCTTGACCAATACGGACAACAAGAAACGCAGTCAGAGTCAAAAGCCAGAAAAGTGCCAAAGCTTCGAATATGTTTCACCAAAGGAATCAGCTCAAAATAGTCAGCAACACAAACAGTTCCCTTCACGTACCGAAGAGTCCTCGAAATGCAACAAGGTGAAGAGCAATCAACTTCAGGAGCACATTGAACTAGTAATACCATCAGAGAACGCGGCAGAGCCTAGCGAGATAGCTCATCCTCCGGAGGGTGCATCCGAGACAACATCTCTAAATTCATCCTGTACGTTCTCAAATGCATCTTCTCCAGTGGATGACTCCATCGTTCTTCGAGACACAGCTGCTATACTTCAAGAGTTAGCGTTGCAGAGATTATCCGGAGGTATCGTAGGGGATCTATCTGTTCCTCCGAGAAGAAGGTACGAAGCAGAGAGTAACAAGGATAGAAGAAGCTTCGATTCTGAAATTGGCAGGGAGATAGTTCGCGAACGAAAGATGAGACAGGAACTGGACTCTGCTCGAGGGAAGTCGGAAGAACCACCGGTGAATAATACTCAGCATTTGCCGCCATGCTTGAGAGCTCGTCACGCGAGGGCTACACGAGCGTCTCTCAGTCGATCTTTGGACGAGGCAAAATTTAACAAGATGACGGAAGAAGCATCGCTGCCCGTGAAACAGGCCACAGAGGATGCTCAGCATAGTTCTACGCCTAACGTTGGAACGGGTTCGAACAGTTCCTCGAGTAATTCCGACAAAACGCATTTAAAAAATCTCGGCGGCTTGGACCTGGGCGATCCCCAGTGCAGAGAAAGGATAGAAAAGTACAAAGAAGAGAGGAGGACGTTCTTAAGAGACAAGTACAGGTCGGAAAGCTTTCGAGGTATGCTATCAAAGACGGAAGACGACGGAGAGCAGGCGCTTCTGGCTAGGTTAAAGCAGAGAGCCTCTAGACCCTCTCTTCATTGATATTAAAATAATATTTATGAAAACGCTCTGTCAACCTCTTTTCCCCGCGTTGAATAGATGCCTCTGCAATCGCGTCGCATGATGAAATAATGATATATTCCAGTGAACTGCTCGTTCTAACGATCATTACGTTTAACCCTTTGCTCTCAACGACGTTTCTTCGAATTACCACGAGGTACGTTTGTTTCTCTTTTCGCATTTCTTTTTTTCTTTTTTGTTCCCTTTTAAAACTTCAAGCAATTAGATACGTAAACGCATATCGTTAGATATTCTGCGCGAGGAAAAATGAATCTCAGTGTTTTACGATGCTTATCGTAGATGATAAGGAATTGACCAAACTGTAATTTTAAATTGAAAACGCGTTGAAGCGAAGGTCCAATTTCAAAAAGCGTATGCACGAGATCGAATTCTGATCTACTTATAAAGACGCGTAGATACGTATCGAAAATTATTCGTCGTTCCGCCATGTTTTATTTTTCTCCTTTTTCTTCTTTTTTTCTTTTTTTTTTTTTCTTCTTTTTTAAGTATTATCGTATACGTTTAATAGCATTTAGAATTTCGTTTAAGGGACACTGTATTTATTCTTCTGCGTGTTAGATTAGTCGAGTGTAAAGGGTTAAAGCGTGAAATACGATGAAGTCGATAAAACAAGTAGCATAATGGAAATTGATGCTTTCGAAAGGAAATCGACGGAGAACGTTCGTTTTTTATCGCTGTTGTTAACAGAACAGTTCGATGATAACTTGTACTTTTTAATTTATTATATAATCGAGATTATACGTACATATTATTAGAGTATTTCTGTTATTGTTACGAGTCGTAAGAATCATTTTTTCCATTATTGTTATCGCTCCCAAAGATTTCCCATTTATTAGAGCCTCTCGCGCTGTTCTGTTAATCGACCTTTAATTTAATCGAGATGTACCAGAGTGTGTTGGGTTCGTGGACCGATTTGGACCCTTTGCACGCGAAACTGCATTTTAACGCGAGTTATGCTAACTATGTAAGCTTGTTTGACAAATTTTATGCAAAGTTAAGTTTTCACGTACGAATTTATATGAATACTCTCTTTGTGATGGTTGAATTAAAAATTTTCGAGTGATTGTGCGTCCGTAACGCGTAATGCTTTATGAATATTATAAATGCTGTACTCTCGTATTTTATTATCATACTGTTCGTTCGAGAGTGACAGACAAAAAAAAAAAAAGAAAAAAGGGGAAAAAAGCGAAAAAAATAGAGGGGGGGGGGGGAAGAAGAAGAACACACGTAAAAGGGGGAAAAAGAAAATGGGAAGAAATGAGAAACGACCAAATTGATAAATTCTATAAAACATTTGAAATATTCGTTCTATCTGGACTCGAGGTACGGGTGCAAAGGGATTAGTGCTTATCAGTGAAAGCACGTGTCTTCGTGTCGATTAATGTAATTGAGTTTTAACATGTAATCGAGACGCTTCCCGTATTCCGTAAATTTTCGTTGTTGCTCATTGGTCCGAGTATATTTTATAAAGGACGAAGCGTGCTGCGCTCTAATCATAGCTGAAGGAAAGCTTGTTCGATGATAGTTCCAGAAGTGTGGTGTTCGTTGTCCTTTGAGAAATAGAGTATTTTATAGCTTCTTCTTTTTCGTTCCGAATTTCCATTGAGTATTTTTCCTTTCTTTTCTGTTTATTTTTTGTTTTTTCCTTTTAAGGATATCGTTAACACCGTTTCTTTTTTATCGTTTTTCTCATTTTTACATTTTACGCGACCGTTTCCACTACGCCAATCGCTTGTCACTCGTGTAAGAGAAATAGCACGTAGTTAGAGATTTTTAAATATGTTACACATTATTATCGATGTATCGATGTCGAAAGAAATTAGAATACTCGTTATTATTCGTGTTCGATTTTACGTTAGGAGCTCTGGTACATTTGATGGATTTTCGTTTGTGCTTTACCGGAGGATATGAAATTTTTCTTTATATATATATATATATAATTAAAAACACCGTATTAAATTAAGTATTCGATACACGCGTTGACATATTTTCTCTCTTTTACCATGGACTGGTCCATGGCCTGTAACACCTCTTTTGTATATGCTTAATTATTATTATTAGTCGACATGTAATATATTAATTTATACGTTTTAGTTTGATCGATGTAAAGAAGAGCTTTGCTTGAAATCAAGATTACTACAGGACCGACTCTGTTTCGTTAAGTAATAACATCGAACAACCTGTTACGCGATTACCATAGGAAAATATGAACTCGTTCGATCGATACAAGGAGTTTCATCGTGCATCACGTTCAACAGGAACCTTAGTTTGTATCTTCTTTCGTATTTACTTTTCTTTTTACCTTATCTTTCTTTTACAATAGTTTTACCCGTTCGAAGAATTATCCTTTCAGCAAACGATGATCTTCTGTGACGAATTATTCTTATTAATTAATCTCAGTGTTCGCATTTATCATTGTTTAGCAATCATGTCTTTTTTTATTCCTCCGTATGATTTGTACTATTACTATAGTTTACTACTCCAGAATTTGCCACTGTCGAGATTCGTCAACAGGCTAGAGAGCATCCAGTGGTCCTCTAAACCGGATATGGCAAGGTTTAAGGACTGTTCAGTCTTTTTCCTAAACCCACGATTTTGGTTCTCTTCTCTTCCAACAGCAGATAATTGAAACACCAGGAGAATCGTCTTCTGTGACAGCATTTAAATATCTCACTCGATATCGCGTTACGAACCAATGAATTTAGTAACACGTCTGTAGAGCGCCATTTTTAACGTTGTATATTTCGATCTCTGCCCGAATCGATGCACGAAGCTCGGGGAATCATCCACTTGTGATCCTGAAGATGCTCAAAACAGAGAAAAAAAGACCCGTTAGCAAAGAAATGCGTATGAATACCAGCGGAACTTTTTTAATCTAATAATTACCGTTGCACATGTGACTTCTGCGTGTGTTCCAGGATAATCGACTCCGTGCGATCCGAATATTTTGCGTATTTTTTTATGCTACAACGATACAACAAGTAGTATAAAAAGGTGTAATGTTTTTTTGTAAACCAAAAAGCAAAACCAAGCGACGACCAAGCACACATACTTCTACTCGAAGCCTTCGAGATACTTAAACTCATTAGTTACGATTTGTATTTGAATGTTTATCAAGAAAAAATGAACAAAACGTAAAAAAAAAAAAAAAAAAAAAAAAAAAAAAAAAAAAAAAAAGAAAAAAAAAAAAAAAAAAAAAAAAAATAGATGTTACGATAATAATGGCTATGAGGAGTGAGAGAAAGATGCGAGAAGAATATTGCGTCGATAGGACGTGAGGGAACGCGACGAGATTATTCGAATAATAAGAGTTAGCGATCGAGTAGCCGTGATAATAATCGAAGCAGTTGATTATTCCTCGTCGAATCTTTTTTGCTAGCATTTCTCCTGTTCGATGTACGCGTGACTCGCGTGATAAACTTGTTAAAGCGTTCACGAACTATTAAAAACTGAAGTGTAAACATTTCTATAGTGCGTGTCGAGAAAGACTGTAACAATCTGCATTCGCGCATTGCGGATTGTTCCAGTAGTATCGTTATATTTTTTCATTTGTTTCCATTGAATTGCGATGAATTTGTAAACGAGCATTGATCACTCGAGTCGACTAGGAAATGTTCTCGAATTTTTTCATTAGGGTTCTGTAGTTTCGTGCGAAGTTAAGTTATCGTTTAATTGTCGAGGATTCTGTGTTATTAATTGACCACGTAGAGTTAAATATCGAGTCGATGATAATTATAATATCGAATAATCAGTGCTCGATTCTGTTTGGCGATAATTGTTAATTTTGGTTTTAGCTTTTGTTGAGAAAAAAAAGAAAGAAAAAAAAAGAAAAAAAAAAGAAGAGATCGTGAGCGCGTAAAATCCGTAAAAGATATGCATGCACAAGTAGCTTGTCCCATGATGAAAATAAGAAGAAAACTGTTTAGAGATATAAAAAAGAAGTATTTAAAGTGAACTTTAATAGTTGCTTCCCTGGGTACCAAGTGTAATAAGAAGGCCTAGTTAGCGGTATTTAAAATAATGCCTAAAGTAAAAAAAAAGAAAAAAAAAATGGAAACTCGAGGATACATCTATTTACGAGTACTTCTGCACAATATAATGCGCAATAACGATACATCCGTAGGATGTATATTTTTAATAATTTGAGATTCTCGCGGTTATACAGGATATAATAGATATATAGTCGTAGGGTTCTGAGAATGAAAGAGAGAAAAGATTCACGCGCCTACTAGAAACTAATATTTCCTACAAAAAACGACGCAAAGACTAATTCCCTCATAGTCGCAAAAAAGGGCTAATAGTAATCTTGTTTTTGAGTGTCAAAGACCCACCGTTCGTCAACTTGGACACATTTTCGTTCCCTATCCTTCTCCTCTATTCCCTTCGATTTCTTCTTTTTCATTTTTTAGTTGTATTCTCGTCGTACGACTGTTCTGTTATTAAACGATACTACTGTTTTTGCCTACTACGATTATAATTATAATATATGGAAAATTATATGTAAACAAAATATAAATACTATAAATATTGGAGAAATCATGTCACTTGTATGATTCTTTTACCTTTCGAATATTCTTTTCGATTATAAATTTTGAAACGGAATTCTTTTATTTTCCAATTCGTGTGACAGAACAATCCATTTTGTTACCAACACGTATGATTCACAATGATGCGAGAGTCGTTTCGAGTCTATGGCCGATGTTAAGTAACATATAGAGGTATTCGTTAATTTATCTTCGCTGAGATTGAATTAATTACCGAGAATTTTGCTAGGGGGCACGACGAGTGCTTGTCACTCGTTGCGCAGCGATTGTTCCCTCATTATACCCACGCGCACATGGCCGTAACGAATATCCCGCCAATTTGACGAAGCCGCGATCGTGTCGTATTCCGTCAATTCGCTGTGACACTTTAAACCCGTAAGAGACCTTTGGTCTTTAGTTCTTTATCGTATCCTTGTCGTTCGATTCGACGTCTATTCAACGCCCACCCGATATTCATCTCGTGATACGAGCTGGGCCGGTGTATCGTCAATTTAATAAGGCATCCCGAGCACCGCGTCACATTGTCATCTCGAATAAACTCCTTTCGAGCCGGTCTAACCTCTTAAAACGGTAAAGGACCTTTGGTCTTTACTTCTTTAAACGCGGTGATAGAGTGGTTGAAAGGTGAGGACCACTCGAGCGGTGCCGGAAGAGACGCGAGGACGTACAGAAGGGGTTGGCTGGGCTGCCTTTATGCCGTAACAACGAGGGCCCACTCCAGAGGGCAGGAAGCACAAAGGTGAGGGCGACTCCGTGACTATCGCTGAATCTTCCACGGTAATTATTTTTAAACACGTCCTGGAGATACGAATCTTTAGTGGCTCTAGCACCGAACGGCCGAGTAAACTTCTCGCATCTCCGTAGCCTAACTAAATAA